AAGATGTTGAATGAAAATTGAATGGTAATTTCACAGGCTGACGAACAGAAGTGATAGGTCCTTGACGCTTGTCAAAGATATTCATCTAACCTACAATATTGTGTGGTCACAGTCGAAAATTAAGACTACTAAGCTTTTCGACCTTCAATTATTTCCCTTTAGAACTCACCGGTTTATCAAAAATAAGTTAAATAAAGATGAGTATATCTTCAACATATAGTCTTTTTCTTCTTTTGTTCCTTTATGTTCCTGGTGGAACATAGGACTTCAAGCTAGAGGCTTGAAGTTTTGGTAGCAGTGGCTTTTTTATTTTAACGGATTGGGTTGCTAGCCCAACCTTCCCTCTTTGCTATTCTTATTACTGGCTTAGAGAGGTAAGGGAGTGCTTAAACTGGGGATCGAGCCCAAACTAACATGAGGCGTGGTCGGTGAGCATTCTATCACTGTGCCACCAACACACGCAACATATAGTCTAGTTTCTTCCAGTTAATCTCTACTCATTGGATATGCAACAGATGTTTTCAAAAGTGGAAATAACGACTCAGTCAAAACGAAAACTTTAAAAAAAGTAATAGTTTTATTATCGACTGTACGTTTATAATAAAGGACAGAATTTTTATGTACATCGTACACAGAATCTTCATGTAAAATAATTATTCGCAAAATGTCATTTGACGGAATTAAGTCTGATTAAAAACGCTCTTCAACAGCTAACGGTTTTGTCTCTCAAATACATACGAAGGCCTTTCAGTTATGCATATAGGCGAGGATCGGTCTTCCAGGATATGCATTTTTTTCATTCCTTTGCACCAATATTTGAACACAGGTTTCCAGGTTTGAAGCCTTCACATTTCAGTAGGCACAGTTCCTCTTTCAAGCAGTAGGGTTGTCAGCCATATGATCAACCTTCTCTCTTTCTTAGACTAACTAGTAAAGATTAATAGGTTAGGTAAGGATTAAGAAGTACGTCTGCTGGCTGGCACGTTACTCAAGTGGCTGAAGCGTTAACGAGTTAGACTAGTAACATGAAACAAAATAATTAGATGAATAGAACAAACTGGAACCTAGAAAATTTGACGTAATATATCTCCATGGAAAATCGGGTTGCCCAGTGACTCAGACAGGTCGCCAGGAATTTCAATTGTTTATTCATTTATGATTGGCAACTGGTTTATGAAACTTCAAAAATATCTTTTTTTATAATTTTTAATGATCATAAACAGTTGATATTAATATTTTATTCAGTTTTAGATTTTCCCGTGGATTGATTGGACTGAAGTGCTCGGTCTCAGGTTGACATGTCGGTTTCTTGTGCAGATGCGTCGACGATGTCTGGGCATGTAATTAGAAGTTAATTGATGGACTAGCAGTGGAATCCAGGATGCGCATTTTGTCCTATTTGCCACTCGTCAGCTGGATGTACCTGCATTCGCCAATAAGTGATGATATTCCCACCAAGGCTCGAACCCAGTGTCTACAGTTTCAAACGCCGAAGCGTTATCTACCAGACCACTTGGACTAAGAGAACCACCTCTTGTGCAATGGGTCATATTAATTAATTAATTAACGCTTTGGCGTTTGACACTATGGGCACTGGGTTCGAGCCTCGGTGGGAACATCATCACTCACTGTGCAATGCCGGCGCATCCAGCTGACGAGTGCTAAATCGGCTGAAATGCATCTCCTGGATTCCACTGCTGGTCACTATCCACCAATTGAATTCTAGTTCATATTCTTCATGAAAGTGTCTAAAGATGATACGTTATATCTACAAGCAAATTTAAATCCACCGATGATTCATTACTTTATAACTTTTACTTACGGTTTCACCTTGGCTCACACACAAGGCAAATGTTAATCTTAACTAGTTTATTATTGTTTTTCCTCTTAAAGAAATGTTTAGTTTCTTTTCACAAACAAATTAATTTTTAACTTAAAATTACCGTATGACAGTTGTTCAAATAATAATCAACTAATATGAATAAAGTTTAATTATCAATTTAGTAATGAAACAGATTGTAAGATATTGAACAACTTTTACAATTTATTATTACTGGATGACTCCAAAATATTTTAGATGGTATAGAAATCTTTTGAAGTATTTAATGACAAGCATAAAAAAGGAAGAATGCAAGATAAGATCAAGTAAAAGTTAAAAGGTATTTTATTAAAATGTGGATAAATGTTAACCAACTTTGTTGTTTTGCAGTTTAATCCGTGAACACTATGATAGTATGAAATTGCATGTTTCCTGGCTAATCAGTTGATACTTATCTGATGTCAATCATTTGCCTGAAACTAGGTTGTTTCACTATAACATTTGCTAAATATGGAGGTTTATTTAACTAATTCTGTACAGTATCCACACTGAGTAAGGTCACTTTATTTCACAGGTTGATAACCACAATAAGTATTATTATTGTTCTTTTGAGTTCCGAGTGGGACATGGGGCTCCAACAATACATATCCACTTTGTTCTATGTTCTGCTGTCCTCCTCATCTGGGTCCACGATTGCCTATAATCTCTCATCTCTTCCTCGCACGATCTCGTCCATGTCACCGTTTGACGGGTCACTCATTGTTCCCTATTGGAATCTCACTCGAGGGCCAGGCGCAAGATATCATTTGACACTCTCCTCAGAGTGTGCCTAATCCACCTCCATTTTCTCCTACATATTTGTAGAACAATAGGTTCTTCGTTAGCTTCTTTACAAAGCTTCTTGCTGCAAATTCTTTCTGGCCTGCCATTTGATCTTCAATATGGAGACAGCAAAGTTGGCGGCTGTCGATATAATTCTGCAATTGCCTGTTCGATATGCTTTTTGTATTGCAAGCGCCAAGTTTCTGAACGATGTACAAGAACTGATTGACTAAACATTGGTGTTTAAAATCCAAATCTTGTTCTTTATGGTTACTGTAGAGGATTTCCAAACCAATTTCAGATTGATGAAGGTGTACCTTGCCTTTCCAATTCCGGCCTTAACATCTTTATCCGTTCCCCGTGTGGTTGAAACAATGCTTGCTAGATAAATGAACGAAGCGACCTCTTTCAGGTTCTCCGGTTGATAATGTTCGGTGCAAGTTGTTGCTGTTATTTTGTTATCTTCATCACCTCCATCTTCTCTATATTCACATGCAGTCATGTCTTCGCTGCCATTCTCTTCAGCAATTTTACTGGTTTTCGCCTGCAAGTCTTTGAGTCTGTGTGACATTAAACATAAATCAACTGATAAATCCAGATCTTATAGAGCTTCCTCACCGGTCCAAAGTTCTCCTGTCTTCTCACTCCAAACGCACAGTCCAACGCATAATGCAGTTCACCACAATTAGAAATATCATCTATAATAATATGCAGACCTGTCTTACTTTTGTATTCACTTCAATAACTTTATTGGGTCTTCCACTGTGGATCATCTGACACGTGGCATTCTCATATAGCTGTTGAATGAGGTCGATAAAGATTTGAGGGGCTGCATACTGTTGAAATAGTTTCTAGATTACGTCGCAGTCAACACTGTATGTTGAAGGCCATATCGAAGTCGATGAAGCTGTTTAGGTACAGGTTTGACTGCCATTTATGCTTTGTTCAGTGATGATGTGTAAAGTTACAATTTGATCACCACATGATTTGCCTTTCCTGATTCCAGCTTGTTCTCGGCTGTCGGCGTTCTGCATACAGTGTATCTTTTGTTCTATCCATGATGACGCGACTTAGAATTTCACTCAGCACCTCGTCGAGTTAATCAGGCCCATAGTTTTCTAACCGGTCCCTAGCCTTGAAAAGAGGGAGGGTTGGGTGTGAGGTTAGCAACCTCACACCTCCAAATCAATCAAGCTGCTACAGGTTAGCACAGGCAAACTCTATTTCTGGCACGTCTTTACCAAGCAAGCTGATTTCAGGAAGCTTTGAGTTCCAGACCACAAGGTGTCTGTTAACATGATTTTCAGATATGCTGATAATCTGACCATTTTTATCCCAGTAGTATTGTGCATTGGATTGTGCTTATATGAATAGATTCTCATCTGAAGTTAACAAATAGTCTCGCCTAAATGATCTTACACAGAATCCATCGAACAAGACTTGAGTATACTTATTCAGTCTCATGATTTCTGTAATACTGACGACCCTGTGATACGGAGTAAATAGAGTATCTCTTTTTTGTCGGCGTCAGTTGGTTGTCTCATATCCTGTTGATTTCTTAGAAGAATTTTCGTTTGACTTATTACATGAAGAAGTTGAAACGTTCTGACACTACTCATTCTCTTTTTTATAATTTATCCGTTCATGTATTCTGCTCATTCTTCTTCAGTGTTCGCCCCTGTTGTTCTTCTTTGAAAATTCCGTTTTTTATGATTATTGTTGTTTAGAATGAAATGATTACTAATATTGTTAAGACCTGCATCACTGGGCTTGCCTGTGTTGGATGCCCACAATTGATCACTAAAGAATGATAGACATCTTGCTATTGGTCAGTTATACTGAAAGTTTTGCCATCGAATTTCACTAAAAATTCATGTGATGACATCAGTAGTTCAACAAGAATTTTTCCGACTACATGAATTAATGAGGTTAATTGTCGAGAAACAGCAGAGATAATTTAATGACGAATTTCACCAAGCATATTACACTGATTACTACACAGTGACATATTAACGTACATGTATACTTGCTAGTATGCATATTTTCCTTGTAGACATTCTTATGTCGTAATGTATTTGTCCAAATGGGATATTTTACATTGGAGAATAACTCAATGGAACTATTTCGTCTACAGTCAGATTTTGGTGGCCAAATACAAATGTAATAGCTTCACTCTCATAATACATTAACTAATATGTACAGAAAAGATGAAATTTACAAGGCTACTTGCCTGTATCCTATATGTATTAGCCACTCCTGCGTTTTTGCTGCCCCCGGCTTCTTATCTTCAGTAAGTGAGATTTCCTGTCACTTGAGCAGGATCTTTAAAATCTTTTCATGAACTCCAAATAATAACTGAATGTTCAAATTTAAACGAGTGAAAAATTTAGAACAAGTGGTGATTAATCCTACATTGATGAGATCACACGGAGAGAATACTGGTGAAGAATTGGGATGCGTTCACAAAAATCTTCCATCTTTAGTCTCATTTTGATCAATATACCTAGAAGGCGAATAAATATCTAACTACTAAGTTCAATTTCATATACTGAAATATCTGATGATAAATTTGGGGAATTATTCTTGAATTTCTAAAATGTACTATGCTGACTCCTGACACAAATTTATGAGCACCACTGAAAAAGAGTGCACCTTGATTAATACGCTAAAGATGTTTCTCCTTGCGTTTAGATATTTTATTTTTTTCTATTATAGCTTGATTCCACATCGTGTTTTTTGTACAAAGATGGAATTTTCAGTATGTGATATTGGTAGCTCAAATATCGCAAGCCGACCAATGATATTAGATGTGCGTCGGCAGAGTATCAAACCCGGGACCATGTGTATGACCCGCAAGAGTCCTAACCACTGTGCCACCGACGCACATTATCAGTAGTATATTAACACTATAAACAGGTCATTTAATAATAGTAAACGATTTCAACAGCCTTCATTTCCGCATAAAATCAAAAATCAGTGATTACGACGGAAAATTGCTTGGAAAATCTTTCCTGGAAGATGTAAACACAACAGGTATACTTCTTTGAAAGCTGAAACAAACTTTTCTAATCATTTTCTGTTTCTCTCCTAGACATCTGAATATCATTTGTGGATATTATCCTTTTTCTTTGTCTTTTTCCCTGTTTAATCCCTAATTCTAATGCTGCTCTTCTTGGTTGTTATGTCGTTTTACGATGTGACTTTGTTTGAATGAATCAAGGTCATCCTGACCTTGGACTCTCTGCGACAATTGTTGGTGCGTGATTCTTTTTGACGTAGGTTTCAATCCCATTTTGTTGGGAATATTAAGTTTGATTCCAAGTACCCGTTCTGTACTTAGATTGGACTGTAGAGCTGCCTGATGAAACTATCGAGGTAGTTTTGGGTTCTTGGTGTTATTATTGTTTGATGATAGAACTGCGAAATAATTCCAAGACAATCATCTTTTCCCTGTCCTCCAAGCGCCTCGTGATTGCGCGTGTCTCAAGGAGGTTTTGCCAGCTATACAGTAGAACGAAAAAGATCGGTTTTCTGTGACCAGACCATAAAGAGTTGATTTCGTTTGTAACAGTGATAAACAAACAGTTTGTTTGGGTTCATGAAGAATTTCATGTATTTTAAAATAAATTTATGGATACAATGAAACTCAGTGGTATTTCTTCGCGTTGTTGTTTTACGCTTCAACAGAACCAGTTTACAATTCCACCAAGGATGGAGCCAAAGAACTTCATGGCTCCACCTAAGTGCACTCCTACTGTGTCAACAGGTAGCAAATGAAGAAAAATCAACCAACTATTCTTTAACAATGATAGACAGGAATATAGTCACTAAATTGATAGTTACACCCACATTGTTAGTCGTACTTGAGCACTTATATATAATAATAATATATTCTCATTTTCGTACATGGGGGACGCCAGTTTACAGGCATCATCAATATGATAAATTACATATACGATTAGTAAGCATATTTAATAATAGTAATTTAATAAAAAACATTTTTTTCCTACCTGTGTAGGACACACCAGTTGTACAGTCATGGATAAGTATTATTTAAATTACATAAATTTGGTTCATGGTAAAATTATAAGGTTGCAGTCATTTTGTCTATGGGAACAATATGATAACTAGTCATTCAATGGAGCACATCAAGAAATATATAAATATTGTCTTCGCATTAACAAAAAAACCCAAGTATGTTTTGGATGGATTACAAATATTTGGGAAAAAATAAAGCTTGAAGTAATTCCTCCATATAACTTTTGTGTGTACGGCATCGAGTCTTATTCTTGATTTATATCCAAATTTGATAATAATTTAAAATAAGTAATACATTTGTATACTTTTGTCAGCATTTTCTTCGTAACATCACAAGTGAATAGTACTCAAGGTAGACTAATAATAATGACAGTTTATATTTTCTTATAAACGGGTGTTTTCAAGAAATGCAAGCTACTTTTGCAGACAAGATCAGTTATGTTGTAAGTTACAATCGTGAAGTATTATAAATCAATACTTTTTTGTTGGTATAAAGGTATATTTCACAACTGTAATCCAGGTTGCGTCGTTGGTGAATGCAGTGCGCAATTCACGAGGGAATTGTAAGATATGGGACCAATAATGTTTGCAGATCATTTGTCATTGTAAATGGGCAAATATCTACATTCTTCATTCTGATTCAAAAAGTCAAATGGAAGCTGAAATGGTGAGAGACAAAAGAAGACAAACAACAACAACGCAAAAGAAAGCAAGCAGAGTACTTAGGGAGTGATTAATATGTATATATACATTTATATTCTGTTTAGTAATTATAGTTATTCCCGTGATGCTAACTTTTATATTGTGTGAACTAATATTATTGTCCTGTGTAAAAATGTCTATCATGTACTTCCAATAATATAAAAATTTATAATTGTAGTTTGTTGTAACTACACGTTTAATGAACTTAAAATATCTATGTTGGGCGAAAAAGTGGGTGTAGGATTCAGATGCAGAAGTGCACTGTCATCTTTGAGCAGTCTGGTGACTGAGGTGAAGAACACTGCGAGTGTGATTGCATCGCGCACATCAGCTGGTAGTCTATTCCAAATGACTGAAAACTTATTTAAGAAGAAATTATACCGCATGTTAGTCTGACAATGCTCTATAGCAGCTAGGTTGTGATGATTTATAAGATTGTAACTGATGACAGCGGTAGGTTTAATTATTGGCTCGGAGGAGTGCACGAGCAGATTAGTTAGCTTGTAGTAAAAAATCAGGTTCAGCTTAAGACGTCTTTTCCAGAGTGGTTCTAATCTTAGTCTGTCGCAACGTTCATAGTATTGGAAACCACTTTCTAAACCAAGAATTCTTAAGGTGAATTGCCGTTGCACTCCTTCTAACTTAAGCTTGTCATTTTGTCTGAGTCCGCTAAGAATAAACGGGCAGTATTCTAAAATAGGTCGGACACATATGCACTCATGCAGAACTTATCTACTCTACCTACCATGGTGTTTCTTGAACATTGGTGCCTGCCATTGTATTCATTTTCATTATTTTCGAATGTGTGAGGTTTACAAATATTAATCAGTATTTGATTCAAACAAATTCAGTCGACTTAATTTCAGCGTACAAAGATGACAGATAATTTTTTATCCAACAGTCATTAATGAAAATAAAACACGTAGTTCAGCGAAAAGTTTGTTTTCGGACAATTCATTTTCTTTAGTTAAATAAACGCGGTTAGATACAATTTTGTTTTCTGAAAGATGATAACAAAAGTGATGAGTTGTCACAATCATAGTTACTCATATTACATAATGCATAAGAAGAGTTGTATAGGTTTATTAGAGTTACGTGATAAGGTGAATAATTAAATGAGTAAGTTGTGGTCAGGATGCACATAGAAACGAAGGAAAATATGGGATTATGTAAGAGTTGTAAAGAACAATGAGTTCTGTGGAGTTGGAAAAAAGCAAACAAACAGATAAGTATCAGGCCATTAGAAATCAACAAGGTTCTTACCATAACAGATAATAAGAGTGGCTGAATAATTCCCGTCTGTATGGATAGCCCTGATCTCTTTACTTGAATGACTAAAGCTTCAACAATAAAAAGAAAACGAAAGTGTATTGTCTTTTTTAGGTTTTTCGTCAATCTATAGATTATTTTGAAGGGGATGTCTGTTGAAATGGAATGACAAAATGTTGACAAGTTGTTCGATTATTGCTCACTACACAGTACCAAAACAACCTTTCTGCAACCATGCGGAATAGTGTTCTCGGACGCTTTCAGATAAAATACTCATTGAAAAACCAATATTCCTTGCTTCAAAAGAACTG